ACGAGAAAGAGAGAGAAGCTGTAAATTGCCACAAGCTATTTACAGTTATACCCTCGTAATAAGCCAGGTGTCCTCCATGTTTTGTGGTGGCCAGGATAATGTTCTCATTCGCCCTAAAATGAATCAAATGTATCAGTTTCACATAAAACTAGTATCAACTTTGCAAATATAATGTAGTGACTACCAAACTATGTAAAGTAACAAAAATATGGATGTCTTTGATTTCGCCTGACATCGTGCTAGTATTGTTCAAATTTTTTAACATATTTAAGCAAGCAAGCCTCACCATTGGGATGTTTAAATGTATCTGCTATACTAATGTTCCATTTTGCTCATCAAAATCGTTTTGTACATCCAAGAGTTTTGACAGCAAGTATACAAAAAGTTTAAAAAAAGATCATCCTTCCAGTCTGATTGATGGCACTAGTGTAGGTCAGTACTCAGTAGGTGCAACATCATAATGTCAGGTGGCCAAAACTTGGACCAATGAGCAAATTTTTGGACATGTTGAAACTTATTTAAGGTTAGAAATACAGTCGCTTCAATGGTTTCATTATAGCTTATACATAGGGATATTCAGACATGGAAATGACACTTTGGAACTTCAAACATCATAATGTCAGGTGGCCAAAACTTGGTGCCAAAACTGGACCAAGAGAGCAAATTTTTGGACATGGTTGAAACTTATTTAAGGTAGAAATACACTTATTTAAGGTTAGAAATACAGTCGCTTCAATGGTTTCATTATAGCTTATACATAGGGATATTCAGACATGGAAATGACACTTTGGAACTTCAAATTAGTGGGAGAATCGTCAAATGTAGTGCGTGACTCCTGAACATATATTCATGCCCATAGTTGTAGCTGAATCCAAGTAACCATATAGAGGAAAAGTTTAGGAAAGAAGGTTCCTGGGCATGTCTTTTTGTCCTTCACAACTATGGTTCACGAACAACGCATTCATGCCTTGGTGCATTTCACCCAAGGATTAAGAAGCCATTGCTGCCAAAGCTAAAACTTAATGCCTAACAGCTCATGCTAGGCCTAGTGCATACTTTTAACACTACCAAACAAGTTTCCTTCAAGTAATGCCACAAATAGAGGATTCTTACTCCTTACCTACATTCATCCCATGGGATGGCTTCCCTTGTACAAACTGGATCATCCAGTGCGCTCACACACAGGAGAGGCAAGGATACAGATACGTCCTAAATAAAATTCAACACAACTAGAAACGCCTGAATATGCATCTACCAGTCTGAGAAACAGGCAGAATTTCCTTTAGTCAATCAGGAATAAGAGACGCAACCCATCGTTGATTCGGGGAATGGAGAAAAATGGCTTTTACCTCAAAACTTTGCAAGAACTCGAGTTGCATGTCTGTGCGAAGTCTCTAACTGACAATGATGTCAAAGGGTAAAATCACATGTATCGAGGAACATTCAGAATAGAAGTAGACCATTTATGTAGTCGAGGAACATTCAGAATAGAAGTAGACCATTTACTTGGTCCATGGAACCCCTCAATGATTATTTTTATATTTACATGAGCAAATAGATGAATGTTAAAAAGTATGTACATGATGGACTTTGTTTATAATGTCATGTATACATACAAATTGGGCTGTGGAATAACTAAATTTTATATATGTTGTTTTTGTGGGCTTACTTCAGACATAATACTGCCTATAGGCTACTATCTTACACTTATTTTCCACTAATTGATCAATTTCTAATGAGACCATGAGGCCATTTAGTGGTAAATATGTCCTCTGGAATCTCTGATCAATCAAATCTGATCAATCAAATCCTACAGAGAACGTTTACAACCTACAAGCCACATTTGATTTGAAGGAAATAGGAAAACAAACACTTCCATTTACAAGATCAAATAACTTGTGACCATCACAATTAGTTGCCAATTGCACACAATATCTGGGATAAGACAGTTTTCAATTTAGATGTATACTAACTGTTATTGCTGTATATGTTAACATTTTACTTGGATGTATAATTACTGTTAATATTGTAAAAGGATAAAAATGATTAGATCAAATCCAAAAGGTCATTTCTCAAATTGTAACATTTATTTAATTGCCATGAAAAGGTCATTTCTCAAATTGTACCATAAGGTTATTTAATTGCCATGACAGTTTGCTGTTTTTGAAAAACAGACGAACTGAGTGAATATTCAGCTGAGTGAATATTCAGCTGTGTGTAACACAATAACTAGAGTTTAAGAAACAAATGCAAAATACCAGCTCAATGCCATTCCAATCTACTAGACGAGTCAAGACAGATTGATGCCTGTAGGAAAGTATAGACTGAATGTAAATTAAAAGAAAAAGAAAAGCAAAATCGTAGTCTATAAGAAATCTTTTACATTTTTTATTTAATCATTATATATTGTATACAGCAGCAATAATAAGAGATTCGAGTCAAGAAACATAGAGGAAGAAGAAATGTAGACTTACAACTGTGCATATGCCTTTAGACCCACACTTAGCACTCTATCATATAATTTCTGCACAAGCCTGCGGTTGATGAACCTGTCACATATCTGTAAAGCAATCAATATGATATTCACTTTAGCACATTAATCTCATAAACATTAAAATTATTGAATGTCCAATAGGAAAAGCAGTTAATGGCAGGTTCAGGTACCTTGCCTGGAGCATATATCCAGGAAAGGTTTTATTATTTATAACATAAAAACACAAATATTGATATTTTATTGGCTTTTTATTCTATAACTTTATTCTTTTCTTTGTAAATGATCAAAGGACATCTTGTCTTTGATACCCAAAAAAACAACACAAACTGAAAATATTGTATCATTCAATAAGGAAGCAAAATGCGTGCATTTCTGATTCATTCTACTCAAATATAATCTGACTAAACTTTTTCAAAATGCTGCAGTTGTCCCCACCTCCCGCCGCTCATGATAACACATATATTTGTAAGAGACCAATGTAAATAAAGAGAGAAGGTTTCTTTCTTTGCATGAAACACTAGCCTTTATCATCCACGTTAACAATTGCCTGAAATGGATATTGGAAATTTGGAAGCCAACTACGTCATCACACTTTCAATCATATAACTTCAATTTGTTTTTTTTTTTTTTTAAGGAGATAAAAAGAGTTTATCATATCTATAGATGAGATTTGAACCCTTAAGAAGTTAAAAGAACTAAGAGGTGCATATCAAAGCACCAATATCATCGCACAAACTAATTCAGTACGTAAATGCAAAAAGCATAAGAAATTTTGTGATACAAATTTTGTGATACATAGCCCTATTCAAAGGGATTTGGCATTTGACAACATTACACGTATGAATGTACTAACCAAAAGGTCCCATGGAGAGCAAATAGCAGCAGCGCCAGTAAGAGGAATGTTAACCCCATGCTCGCCAAGATATTTAACCTGCAAGAAGTACTCCACCATTATACATAAAACTATAATAGTCACTTATATAGAAGGATGAGGAGGCCGATGTCCAGTTTTCCCTTTTCAATCCAATCAGAGCAGTGACATTATATCAATCTGTTCTTCAACTTTAAGAAATGACGGGAATTACCTATTTTTTAACTTACTGTCATTGAGAAAGTAAGACGACGGGAATTACCTATTTTTTAACTTACTGTCATTGAGAAAGTAAGACAGAAATCTGGTTTCTAGCATTTTTTTTTTAGTTCACTATATTTGGTTAAAAATTCTGCCCTCATACCCACTCAAGTCTCAAGTAAATAGTTGTAATTAGGAGGAAAAGAAGTAAATCAAGGGAAGAAATAAAAAGTTTCTTTTGGTGTCTATTTCTAAGAGATTTAATAAATATAAGTTCTAAATAAGTCCATCCATGAAATGTTTAGTTTGCTTTCAGCTTCACCATTTAGAACAGTCCAAAAATGCATTATACATTCAAAAAAATGCATTATACATTCAACCACTATGACCTTTCTGAATTTTAGAAATGGAATATATAACAATCTCACTGGTAAGTTAATTCATCAACAAAATTTGTCCATTAACATAAATACATAATGAAACTTTGATGCCTCCATACTCAAAATTACACGAATAAATTTGAATAGGGAGGGGGAAGATCAGGTAATTTGCTTACCAGAATATTGGCACCAATGCTAGTTCCAACAGCATATAGAGGAGCTTCAGGATATTGACAATGGATATGATCGATGATACTCCGAATATCCTCTGTCCATCCAGCATTATAAAAGCAATCAGACTGACATAAATATTTACAACAAGACAACTTATTAGTCAACAATTAACACCACTCAACATCTAGACAAGCATGGATGTATAACCACACAGACAATGAATGATAATTTGAAATTAAAAATATGTTCAAGTTACTTAAAATGTTGGACAATTTATCACTATATGTAATGATGAATATGCTCAGAATGATGATAAGACCCTCATGAATAACTTCATAATTCATAACCTAACAAAATAATCATGCACAGAATCACCTCACAACAGAGAAATTCAGAAAGGGCAATTTATGAGTCAAGTATGCTTTTAAACGAACAAATTCAAACAGCATCCAATGAAAAGCCATTACTGATCATAAAGTATGATGTCCTTTTTACCAATGTGAATCTGTATGAGAAATACATATGAGGAACAGAGAGATAGAGACTAGAGACCAGTCCTCCATGGAGATTGAAAAGGAAAGCATTACTTAATAATGTTGGAGCAAACTAAGAAATAACAGAGGAAAAAAAAGAATATTGCAGTGTACTTTTTTTTATTAACTGCAAATGTGCTTAAATACAAAAAAAGGATAACAGAAATTCCTATATTTCAGCTCAACCATGGAACATGCCTCCATGTTTAACAGCTCAGCTAGAAAAATGGAAATAATGACTGAAACATGCCTCCATGTTTAACAGCTCAGCTAGAAAAATGGAAATAATGACTGAAATGCAGTAGAACAAGTCAAAACATAACAGAAAAAGAAAAAATGCAGCAACTAAATTGGAAGTGCTGCAGCTAAGTCAACTTCTTAACAAATAAGAAATCAAAAACTTGTAAGCAAATATATAATACTCACAGTAATTGATATGCCTCCCAGTCCCCGATGATTGCTCATGACAACATTCCAATCCTGCCTTGCCATTGTGAAAGCAAGATGCTTTATATACTGTTATACAGTACATTTTTGTTAGATATTAAAAGTAGAGGTAGATGAAGTTAACAAAGAAAGAGAAAATATCACCAAAGAATGAGCATGTTAATAAGTTATACAGGTTTTATGTCAAGAGATAAGGGAAATGAACAAGAAGTTTGGTTTTATCAGTTGAAATCTGCGTGCGTTTTATCAGTTGAAATCTGCGTGCATAAAAAATAATAATAATAATAATAATAATAATAATATTAGAACACATTGCAAAGGATACAGAAAATGGAAGGAACTCACAGCAGAAGCAGAGTCGCGGGTTAAGCCAGGAATCACTATTAAAATTGGGGTTCTATCATCTTGAAGAATGGAATCACTTTTATCGGAAACACCTTCAACTGCAAATCATAGTTGTAAGAAACAGAGCCAAATACTTAAATTTTGTATGTAACTCAAAAGTCATACATCTTGAGATCAATTTCTGTTGTAATATTTTCAACCAAAAGAAAGTGAAGCTGTTTTTAAAATGACATCTAGCATTAGAAAATTATAAATTATTGACCTATTTTATCTGAAGCTAGACCATACCCTCTATTGTTAATTATTTTCAACCATAATCCTCCTAAAAATGCAAGCATATGATATGAAATGAAAAAGATAGAGATGTAAGTGAAAGGCTAATAGCTAAAGGGTAAATGGCATCAACTTTATTGAAATTAAGGCCTAGAATAAGGGGTTACAACTGAAACTAACCATCAGAGCACATTAGCCAGTCCAAAGCAAGTGTTCCTCCATCTTTAGCCTTGAAAATATGTCTGAAAATATACATATTAAAATATATGAAAATATACATATTAAAATATACACAAGAAATAAAATAAAACTTGATATATGTGAGGGAAAAAAAGTCAATGCTACCAAGTACTTGTTAAAGTTACAGCTACAGCTCCATTAAATCTAAAATTGATGCAAGTGTTGTTGACAGTTTTTGGAGAAATTTTGTTAAAAGTCATTTAGATTTTATTGTACTTTGTTGAAGTCAAGAATTAGTTGAACTACCTTGTTTTTAGATAAGTATGGTGAACAGCCTTCCTTGACTTATAGAAGTTTGGTAAACAAACTTCCTTGACCTATGAAAGATTGGTGAACAAACTTTAGAATAAGTTTAGTATAAATATTTATATTATGCTGTAATGGAATTAATGAAATGTGAAGATTTGTTTCTCCACACTTATAAACTCTGCAGATTTTTCCTTCTTTGCAGAATTTTCCTTCTCTTCCTTAATTTTTTGCTCTTCTAAACCAACAAGTGGTATCAGAGCAACATTGATCTCAAAGGGCTGCGTGTGTGTTTGAGTGAAAATCATAGAGAAAGCCATCAAATAAACCAGAATTTTTGAAGTTTTCTGTTTATTTGCTTTTCCTCAAATGGCTTCCAGCAGCATGCCTCTCTCACCACCTCATTTTAATGGGGAAAACTACCATATTTGGGCTGTGAAGATGAGAACTTATTTCAAGGGGCTCAGATTATGGCAGTATGTGGAGGAAAACAGAGTACCTCCACCTCTTAATCAAAATCCAACCCTTCAGCAGATTAGACAACATGAAGAAGAGGTTGCTAATGCTCCAAAAGCTCTGTCCTATATCCATGCAGCTGTTGCAAATCCTATCTTCACCAAGATTATGACATGTGAGACAGCATATGAAGTTTGGGAGAAGTTAAAAATTGAGTTTTGCGGAGAAGTTAAAAAATCTGAGTATCATGGATCTGAAAAAACCTAGACAGATGCGGGTATATAATGGGTAAGAAAAGAATTTGAATTGTTGAAAATGAAGGGACAATGAATAAGGTGAGAAGATTCGTTAATAGACGTTATGAAAATTGTACCAAATTCGATTGTTGGTGAGAAGAGTTAGAAGAGAGAGAAATTGTGGAGAAACGTTATGTGCTCTCCCCTGAAAATTTGAAGGCAAGATTTTCTTCTCTCCGGAAGAAACTTGGAACTATGTCATCAAATATCATTGAATGTGCTTTCAAATGCTCTACAAGTGGTAGAACAAAGAAAGCCTATGGGAAAGAAGAAACATTGGAGCAGAAGGCTCTTGTTAGTGACTCATAAAACAAAATGCGAAGGAAGGTTCTAGAGGCCCAGCAAACTAATAGAAAACCAAAATGAAGAAGAATTTCCCAGAAAATGGGGAGGAACAGATTTTCCACCCTTGTCTACACTTACAAATAAAACAAAACCATTATGAGAACTAATGCTGGTGTCAGAACTGGACTCAATGTAAGGTTTGTAAGCAATTCTGGTCAACAACTTCCGAGAAAGTTTTGTTCTACAAACCAGAATCAACAAAACACAGCTCATCATGCACAAGGTCACCGGAATTCTCGAACAAGTATGAAGACAACCAATATTTGACTGCAAATGAAATTGAAAAATGTCTGCATGTCACTCAAATTTGCAAGCTAAAGAAGATGGCTTGTTGATTATGGGCTGCACTAACCACATGACTCCAAACTTGGTGATTTTCGATAGCTTGGGATACAAAACTCACTTCTTCAAAAGTCACAACTTGGAGATGGTAGACTTGATGGATGTCAAACGGCAAGGAGATGTTGATTGTACAAACTCCTTCAGGTACACAAGCTTGTTTCCGATGTTTCTTACGTACAGAACTAAATGCCAAAGCCTTGTTTTCGGTTGGTCCCAATTGCTGGACAAGAATTCGAGATGTCTCTTGTTTGAGAAAAATCTACCCAAAGTTCTTTGGGCTGAAGCTGTAAACACTGCTGTATATCTTCAAAATCAGCTTCCAACCAAAGCTATTGTTGGAAAAACTCCTTTTGAAAGTTGGTTTTGAGTTAAACCATTAGTAAGTCATCTCAAAATCTTTGGAAGCCTATGTTATTCATTTATTCCAAATGCAAAAAGAGGGAAATTGGATCAACGAGCTGAAAAAGGAATTTTATTAGGCTACAGCAGTGAATCCAAAGCCTACATAATTTTGAATCTTGTTACTAAACAGGTGTATATCAGCAGGAGTGTCAAATTCGATAAGAAAGGTGAATGGGATTGGAGTAAAATGGAGCTAGGAAATTCTAAATCAGTTCTTGAACAAGATCATTTTCAGCAAGAGCAGCCAGAACTTCCCAGTTGACAATGAAGGAAAGAATCATCATGAACGATGAATTATGCTTAAGAGGGACTAGATCCTAGAGGAAACTTACAGCTGATGTAATGTTGTGCTCACTTGAACCAACTCAGGTGGATGAAGCCTTAAATTCTAGGGAGAGGCTGCCATGGAGGAGGAGTGAAGATGAACACCTTATCGATTTCATCAAAGAGAATCACCAACCTAAAATACTCTCTGTGCAACAACAAATCAGGCTGTTTGTTATGGGTTTAGAGAATCTAATCTTCCATGGAAAAAGCCAAAGCATATAATGATAATCAAGTAACCCGAATTGGCATTCGTGAAGCTGAAAAAGGAACAATGAAATTCAGATTGGTTGTCGCAATTCGTGAAGCTGAAAAGGAAAATGAAATTCAGATTGTTCATTGCAGTTCTGAAGACCAAACAGCAGATATTTTCACCAAGGCATTGCAAAAAATAAGATTTGAATTTTTTAGGAATAGACTTGGTGTTTGTCTCAACTCTTGCATCAAGAAGGAGTGTTAAAGTTACAGCTACAACTCCATTGAATCTAAAATTGATGCAAGTGTTGTTGACAGTTTTTGGAAAAATTTTGTTAAAAGTCATTTAGATTTTGTTGTACTTTGTTAAAGTCAAGAAGTAGTTGAACTATCTTGTTTTAGATAAGTTTGGTAAATAAACTTTCTTGACTTTGGTGAACAACTTCCTTAACTTAATGGAAGGTTGGTGAACAAACTTTAGAATAAATTTAGTATAAATATTTACATTATGCTGTAATGGAATTAATGAAATGTGCAGATTTTACTTCTCAGCAGAATTTTTCTTCTCTTCCTTAATTTTCTGCTAACCAACAGTACTAACCTTGTATAGGCAAAATTAAGAGAATTCCTAAAAAGACTCAGGAAAGCTGTTTGGAGATGAGGACTACATAGCCACGGCGTTGGAGAAAACCTTTTGAAAAAATGCAAAACTTTGAGTTGCAATATTAACAATACCAAAGCAAGAACATTGAAATCAGAATATTTTTAAATTTTATGCTAGTGGTCGAAGGTACTGTCAAGGATTACTGGCGACAATGGAGTTGAAGAGCAGGCACGATTTGATTTCCAGGATTTATAATATGATCGTGCCTTGCAAGGATGAGATTACTTTTGAAGTGTATATGAATGATGATGCAATGGATCACGTGGTTTTCGCGCTGGCAAAGAAGAAGGCAGCCAAAGGGATGCAAAAGGAAGTGAGGGATTTGCAGAGATTCGCGGGGCTTCTTGCACAACCACCTAGTGGGAGGAAACTTCTTGCACAACCACCTAGTGGGAGGAAACGGGTGTCTGAGGAGTTGGGAGTTATTGCAGAGTCTAAGGAGGTTGCTGGGGATTGGATCACCGAAGTTGTGCTTGAGCAGGTTAGATTATTAAATTGATCTCATGTTTTGCACAGTTGAATTTTTTTTTTTTTTTTTTTTTTTTTTTTTTTTTTTTTTTTTTTGGTCCACATTGTATTTTGATTGCTTTATCTGTAGCCTGGCTCTGGTGTCTATTCTTTTTGGTTTGATGTCCTATTGTATGGGTTAGTATCTTATATATGGTTTATAGCTTGATTATGCTTTCACTGGGTGGGGTTTGTTTTCCACTCTTTTAGTAGCTCAGTTTCAAAGTTTAATACTCCATAGTCCATACTTCAGTTTCTAGTTTCTTTTGAGTGTTTTAGTTATACTTTTTATCTTGACCACTTAATATCTTGTTGTTTGAAATGATTATATTCTTATTATATATAAGAGCTAAGGTGATTGTATTCTTATTATACAGTGAAGCTGTCTCATTCCTTTTTTTTAATGTTTATGCTAGGCGCACCTTGTTGATTAATGTAGAGCATTGTTTATGAATCTAGCATGGAGTGCTTTGCTATTATTGTGGAAAATTCCACTTTCTTTGCAATTAGTATCTTCTTATATTCTATGGAAAGGCCCTGGAACCTTTGTGATTAGGAACTATTTCTTCTTTGACGAAGTGCTTGCTTATCAAAAATGATTATTTAGCATTGCCTCCCCTTTTTTCAGTTATTTTGCTAGGATTTTGTGATTAGGAACTATTTCTTCTTTGACGAAGTGCTTGCTTATCAAAAATGATTATTTAGCATTGCCTCCCCTTTTTTCAGTTATTTTGCTAGGATCGTCTTGGCTTGTTGTTGATACATGCAGGGAGTAAAACAGAATTCATGCATGGCTTTGACAATGAAAAAATTACTTAAATCCTTAGATGTCATAGAATGTTTTGTTTTGAGGATTTATTGTGAAGAGAGGCCCTAGGTAACTGGTCTTCAGGATGTTTAGGGAAGTGAATAGAAATCTGTTTGTGTGCCATAAGTTTGGGAAGGACTGAAAAGTTGATTGGAATATAACCTCCACATTTTTGTCATTTTCTCCTGCCAATCAATATTGTAACTTCCTTTTTTATAAGTGGAATTGTGTTAGTGGTTCAGTGACCGAGCATGAAGAGCCACACATATCTTGGTCCCGTATTTGGAGTAATTATGGTTGATAGAACTACAGTGGTTAAATAGATCTATGCTTTAAAAAGATGGAATGGACTTTTATTTTGCATCCTAGTATTGAGTTGTTGTGATGATCTCCAGAGTAAAGAGAGACTAGAGGACTATAGAGCTATAGTTTACTGGTTCTCTTACACTGTGACTGGCTTGAATTTGTTTGTTGTTCCATGCTCAGTTTCTGACCTAATAAACCAAAAGATTGAGTCATTCTTGAACCTAACATGCACCATTTCCTTTCCACAGGAAAATAAATGCAATACACAATTTTGATGTAGACTACGCCATGATTTGCTTTTTCTTATTAAGAAAAAAACAGGAGCATGTAGCATTTTTCTAAATATGAGCTTCATATATCAACATTTAGATGAACGTTGTTGCCAGAGAACTTATTTGTCCTAGTTTGTCGAAAGTTAGGACTGAACTGTATATTTGACACGACTTATTGTTGGTTTTGATGTGGGAAACCTGTATAATTATCTTGTTAGCTGGTTCCATTCCTATTGCCATTATTAGTATCATTGACTAATATATGGTAGAGTTATTTTCATTACCTTCTCCTGCCTAAGTTCAGTATCTTATTTTAGGTTTATGTGACATGATAGAGTTATTTTCATTACCTTCTCCTGCCTAAGTTCATAGGTTTATGTGACATGATAGAGTTATTTTCATTACCTTCTCCTGCCTAAGTTCATCATAGGACTTCCCATGCAATTTAACTCATGGTCAGAATGATGTTTATTATGTTGCTTTAATGAACTTACAATATGAAGTGAATCTGAAATTTTGCAGGTTTTTGGAGAAAAAGCTTTTGAGAAATATGGCAAGGGTTTCATCTCCATGCATTTTTCTGATCAACACCTTGGAGTGCACAAGAAGATGCTCTTGTTTAAGTTTGCACTTCCTGATGCCAATAACATGGCTGATATGACTAGATTGGTTGTGCTTATTCCTTATTACATTGATCTAATTGGGCGCTACAAGTTGAGTTCACAGGTGGGTGGGTCATGTTATACTTGCCTTTTTCAACATGATAATTTGCAAAATTCAATGGTCTTGAAACTTCGCTTTGCCTTCTGCAGGCTCGATCGAAAACAAAGGCAGCTAGAGTGAAAGCTGCCCAGGAGGCATACAAAGAACTTCAGGGTGCAAGACAAGAAGCCTTGCAGAGAAAGAAGGCAGAGAGGAAGAAGACGCAAGAGGAGGCTGAAGCAAAGCTCAGTGCAGAAGCTATTCGCAAGAGAGAGGCAAAAGAGCGTGCCCGTCAGATGAAGAAAGCTATGCCAAAAGTAAAGATGACCCGAGCTCACTAGATATTAAATCCTCTAAAAAGTTAATAAGATGACCCGATTCTCACTACGGATTTAAATCCTCTAGAAGTGGGCATTCAGAGAATCTCTGTGGTTGGTCTGTATACGCTTGTAAACCAAGTTCTTGAATATCTTAGTAAAAGCATAATTTATTTTTTTATTTTTTATTTTTTACTAAATTCCTTCATATATATTTTTAAATTCTAACAATAACTAAAACATAAAGCCCAAATCTCACAAAATAATTCATTGTTCAATAACTAAAACATAAAGCCAAATACTCACAAAATAATTATTTTACAATTCAAAATTAGTTATTTACTTATTTGTTTATTTAATCAAATAATACAAAAAAATAAATTCTAAAAATTGTATTTTAATATAATTTTCTGTACACATACCAAAATTAAAATAAGCCAATTTAAAGTATGAAGATTAATAAACTTATACTAGATAGTTTCTATTTGTTGTTGCTATAAGGGTAAAAATTAACACATCATCTGTTCTTTAAATAAGTCAAAGTATATTCTTAACATTAGAACTTCTTTAGTTTGGACTAATCATATATAGGTTGATCAAAATTTTTATTACTCATCACTAATATTTAGAATTTAAGATGAAATTAAAAAGTCTCATTTAACTATATCAAGACCAATTTGTAAAAAATGTATTGGACATAAAACAATTGTAAATGATTCATTAAGAAAATTTTAAATTCTATTTCCTTAGAAATGCATTTAAGAATAAGCATTAGTTAAATGATTAGAACATATTACTTCTTTTTATGATATTCTTTCGTGATCCGCCACTCTCATCAAACCATTTTATAAATTTTAACTCAGCTAAGTATAAGTTATTATCAAACTACATCTTATTATGTTATAAGTTCATTTACACCAAATACAAATATCTTATCTCCATCCCACAGTTGTTTGAGTTGGCTGCCAGGCAAGTGAAGTTGTACAAGGTTATTTGGGCAAAAGTTCAACGGCAACGATTTCAAAGGGTAACCGTTCCAACGTAAATATCTTAGCTCTTCTGGAAGAAAATCAAGGCCATCAGCCAAAATACATTTGGAATAAAAGATTCTGAGATATCTAAGATTAGGCATCTTCATGAAACTTTTGGAATTTATCCTAATAGCTCCACCATTCAATATCTCAAGCAAAATGCACTCAATTTTATCAGTTCCCTGATAAACGAACAACAAATGAAAATAGGTAATTGAGTATAAAATATTTAAAAATAAAACTATTGGAATCATCGCTAATTATGTGAAGCGGTAAGTTCAAATTTGTTCATATATAAAAAGAAAAACAAAAGAAAAATGTAGCAAATTTTGCCCCTTACTGTATTTGTTTTGAATACATGAGAAATGTCCTCAGGATTCCACAACCTACTACGTCCTCCAGGCTGTTTGCATTCCTCATTCACAATCTCCTGTCCTCCAGGCTGTTTGCATTCCTCATTCACAATCTCCTTTCCCATTTGTTTTAGTAAGTAATGCATTTCTACTTGGCCATAACAAATGGTTATGAGAGATTTATCAATGAGACTCCTTATTCCACATCTCGCAAAGAAACCAAAACTTTCTATTATTTTTTCAATTATAAATATGGTTCCTCCCGCAAAGAAACATGCAATATCCAGAAAGAAGCTCTGCTCATTTCTATCTAACCCATCATAACTTATTTTTAGAACATCTTGAATTCTCTTGTTCGGGATGCTTTTCAATTTGAGCAACTGGCTCTCCCAGTACTCTTTCTTGAGCAAGCGTGGCTTCCCAGTACTCTTCTCCTTGACCATAAGCTAGAGCCTAAAACTTTTTAGTGGCTAACGATTGCCTTGAGCATAACGTCATCACCTTGCTGGGAATTACGCACAACATATCCTTCTTTTCGGTTCATTTGATGGAAGCCGTTCAGCTAAAGAAGTTGAAGAGCTTCCTTATAATTAATCCCTTACCTGATAAATAAAAGCTCAGGAGTCCACAAGGTATGTTCTTCCTGGCAAAACATCTTTACGAAGTACTTGTCTATTCCTATCTAGTAATAATTATTCTACTTCCCTTAACGGTATCAAACTAAATTTTCCAGCTAAAAGATCTTCAAATCGTTTGAATCATCAATGTCTAACAAACTTAACGAACCTTTCTTTTACGTTGCAGCCTCCTCAAAATCCAGTCATCTAAAACTAAATGAGGTGAGCCCATTTTCAAATTTTCCTCTCCCAATAGTGAACGAATGATTTTATCCCCTAAAACAATTTCTGTTTCCTTCCTTATCTGTTCCTTGACATTTGAAACAAAGCAGTGGGCATCAAACTTAGCCTTGATTTGGGAAAACACTATACTAGCAAGCGTTGTCTTTCCAATACCAGCCATTCCCCAAATTCCTATTATCCAATTTCTGTCATTTACATCAATATCCAATAACGATATTACTTCCTGGACACGCGAAAGAATTCCAACTAACTTGTCATGGTAACTAGCATTTGATGGCATATGACTTAATATCTCCGAAACACGATTGACGATTCTTTGAACTAGCATTTGGTCATTTCTGATCACATTTGAAAAAAAAAAAAAAAAAGTAAGCCAAAACTTTTATATTCTAGAATAGAATCAATCAAGTGTTTGGAAAAACTGGGTGGGTAAAACCCATGATTGAAGGAATAGGAGAAAATGAAACAGAATTTTAACAAGAAAATAAAAATAAGTGAGAGATAAGTGAGAGTTCAAAGGAGTAGATATCGTGACTAAAAGCCATCTATCGTGTGCGCAAGATTGATCTATTATCGATGAATAGAAAATAAAAAGACATGGAAAAGTAAACAGGGAAAAATGATAACTTTACTTGATCTCATTCGAAACAAAAGCACTTAAGTCGTTGCTGATGGTCTTCAAAGCATGGCACCATCCACCCAGGTTGTGTGAACTATCGCTGTGATCTTTTAAAAGCCTAGCAAGTGCCCTTGTGAAAGGGCCTCTCAGCTCTTGAACATCAGTTGGATCTACACGGTAAAAAACCGGCAAAACTATTTGCCCTGACTTTTCTCTGCATTCATTTATCACAACAAGCTCGTCCAAGCACTCTCTGCATTCATTTATCACAACAAGCTCGTCCAAGCACCATGGAGAATCTGCATAATTTTTGGAGAATATGACAATTGAAATACATGATTCTTGAATTGTTTGCTTGAGGGCTGGTGTTATTTCAGTTCCTTTTTGAAGGTTTTCATCCTTGAAGGTATCGATTCCTTTTTCCTTAAAAGATTCAAAGAGAAAGGAGAGAAAACCGTCGCGGGTGTCTTTGCCTCTGAAATTAATAAAAACTTCATGGTTGTTTGGCTCGGAAGGGTTTTGCTGGGAAGAGGTTGACGAAGGAGAAGAAGCAGCAATAGAATTAATGATAAAAGAAGGGGCTCGCTGGGAAGAGGTTGAAGCAGAAGAAGAGAAAGAAGAACCCCTAACGGAAAATTCAAATGATACAAGAAGCCGTAGAAGGCGAGTTTTATAAAACGTAGAAGAGTATATATAAAGCTAAACCATTGAGATTTGAGAGTCATCATCATTATAAAACGTAGAAGAGTATATATAAAGCTAAACCATTGAGATTTGAGAGTCATCATCACAGAAACTTCAAAGAAACTTTAAGAAAGTGAGCGAGTGGAACTGGGAAAGAGAGAAAAGTGAAGCGATGCGAGAGCTACATGGAAATATTGCTACCTACATATGCCTTTCAAATGGGTTATCTTTTTGTATTTTTGGTGGGGTATTAATTAGTAATATAATTAATTAATTAATTAATATCGATTTAACTTAGTCAAGGCATATCCATATGTCCTATGATTTCTTGAGAGTCAAACTAATAATTGCATAATTTTAGATATATGACTCTTTGTGGAAATCAAACAAATCTTTATTATTAAATAAAGAATATTGAAAATTCTAATGAATCTTCATATTTAAGTCATTCATATTTTCAAAGAGGTTAATTTTTTTCTGCAGATTGAATCCTCTATTTTTTCTTTTACTATTCATGTCATTATTGACTTTCTGTCGAGTATCTTAATTAGCTTAATTAGCGTATGTCTTATTGACTGTTGCGCACATCCGAGTTATTTCTCTTAATACATTAGGGAAAAATGAAATAAAAAATTAAGAGGATATAAATGGATTAGACTACAGAAAAATTTAGGTTTTGGTATATATAAGAAAAAGAAATACAAATTACAAACAAAATCCATAATAAGCTACCAAAAATATCATGATTAAAACTACTGGATTGAATGATTTATTCTTAATACATACTTATATGCCGTTAATATTTTTAACTCCCAAACAATATGAAAGTCGAACAACTTGTTTAATTAAACCACGAAAGCATGCATAAATTTCCAGAAGATGGGAGGAAAAGGGGGGGAAGAAAGACACAATATGAACCCCATTATTGCAATAGTCAAAAAAGAAAATTGAAGGAAATATTTTATACTTATACATGAAAGGAGGAAGAAAAGACATAATGACTTTATTATAGTGCTACATCTTTTTATTATATTGCTACAATGAAAAATTATAAAAAATCTCATCTTAGAGCTACATCTTCTTCCTCTCATCTCTCTCTCTCTCCTCTTTTATTATATTGCTACATCTTTTTATTGTTATTTTGTTATATTCTTCTCTAACCATGACATTTTTTTCCCTCTAAGAAACTAAAGAAACCCTAAAAATGCTATAATTTTAATTGAAAACAAACAACCAAAATTTACAAAGAAGTTTGCGGAAGGACGATTAAAAAATGGGGTTCTACCAGTGCCTTTAACAAAGAGATCAAATTTTTTAACCAAAAATATTATAAATTAACCAAAAATATATAAACTTTGACTAAATTGGACAAATGCATATGCCTCTCCCACGTCCCCTTCTCTATGTATATGTTCAATTGTTCCTTTTGTCATTTATTTTCAACCAGGTTAACCTATCTTTACAATGTTATATTTACTATTTTGGCACACTATTTAGTTATATATGATACAAATTTTGCTCCATTCAGTCATGAGTCATGGTACAAATATCTTTACAATTTCATAATAATTAGCGAAGACTTTTTTAATTGAAAAGACTCCGAATTCATTTTTTATAAGAAAAATTAACTAAACTATACATCATTAACTAAACTATACATCTAGTTAGCCTTATTGCTATTTTATTTTTTATTAAAAAGACATTTATAATCTTTTTTTCCTTTAATTGCTCGTTATTAAATTTATTAAATAAATATCATTAACAATGTGTTGATTAAAGTGATAATCGACTTCGACCCTCGAAAAAATGAGAATACAAATTTGATTCTCAAAAAGCATGCTCCGTACTTTATTGGGAGCGCAAAAGACTTTTACACTCAAGAAGATCGATTATACCGGCAAAAAAATAAAAAAATAATACTCTGAGTATAAGTGACCATTAAGTAATGGATTGATAGCAATAGCACGATACGATTATCTCGGATTATCTCATGCATGTAAAATCCTTCGTACCGTAAAATTTGCAAGTTTATCTTAATAGTTTGAGTTAGTATTTTTTTTTTTTTTTGAAATCTAATTAATTAAATAAAATTGAATATTTCAACTATTGTGAGGTAAGATAAACTTATTCATCGAAATTCAATTTTTTATGGAAAAATATTTTCCAAGAAAATAGAATTCCAAGAAATTATTATAAAAAAGTCTAATTATCATAAGATAATCATAAAAATTTTCTGAGAAAATAGCATAATTATGAAAATTAATATTACTTCCTCTGTCCCAAAATAAAAATCATTTAAGTTTTTTTACAATGATTAAGGAAGCAATTAATGTTCCTAATATAACAAAATCAATGATTATTTGGTTAAATTATCCTTTATCTCAATACCGATAGTTATTCTTATGAAAGTAGTTATTCTATAAGGATAACATTGGAAAAACATCATTTATTACTCCTTAAAATATACTCCTGAAAAACATCATTTATTACTCCTTAAAATAATAATCACACAAAAATGAATTATATTTTGAAACAAATAAATATTGTTATATAATTTTAAAATGTCTTATTTTCTATAGAAATCTAATTTTTTTAACTTTTGAGACGAGAAAATACCGTCATGAATGTGAATAAGTAAAGAGGAGACATAAATACTAAAAACTTTATTTTTTCTGATAAAGTACTAATCAAACATTTAAATTTAACATCATTCAGTTATGATCTGATCGATCTTTCTATAAAATATAGAAAATATGGAGAGTGAAAGGTCTCGATAATATTTTTGACAAAAAAGTATAAATATTCCGATCAATATCATATCAATTAACTTGATAATAAAAATCCATAGTTGCAAAATCTTTAAACGAACATCGTATCAAAGAAAATTACAAAAGAGCAATAAAGACTAAATGAGATTTGTTTCTCTCAAACCCTAATAAATACAGTTGCAACCTATAAACATGCAAATCTAGAAATTGAAAAAGACCCTAATAGATCCTTAATGCCATTTCATAGCGGTATTAATTGTTGGGTTAGTTAGTGGAAATGTCCCTAACATTTTTCTCTGGGATCCTAAACTGCTAAACTTTATTTAAAAAATTAATTTTTTTTTATATTATTATAAACACTACCTAATTTTATGGATTCTATACTATCTATTCAATAGAAAGAAATATTATAATTTTTAAGATATAAAAATATAGCCAATATATAGAATTTGAAACTGATATGTGTCATTTTATTTTTATTATAATTAATAACATTTTAAATTTTTTTCATTTAAATAATGGAGTTACAAACTAATAAATTAATGAATGATTTTATTACCAAATAAAACAAATAACATTAAATTTTATTAAATAAACCATAATAAAATAATGGAGTTTATAACTAAAGTTCATATTTTGATAAAAATTTATTTGAATAATGTAAGTTACATTTAACAAATAAAATTAAGAATATTATTCAATTCACTAAAATTTATTTTATTAAATTAAATATTCTATAATACTACCAATTTGAAAACATATGCTGAATTTTAAAGAGAAAAAAAAACTATATAGGTTGAAATTACCAATTAATACTTCACAAAATTAAATTGCTGCCTAGTTTAATATTTAGTTCATTACTTTGAGAATTTTCAAAAAGAGCTTATATTTTACTTTTTTCATTTTTAATCAAAAACACATAAACAAATTATTTACATTAAAGCAACGCAAATATAAATTACAATAATTTTATTAAAAATTACATTCAATTTAATTAAAAAAATTTATGTAGTCTGACTAGTATTATATACATAACATAAATCAAAATATCTTTAAATATGGTTGTAATGAGACCGAAATAACATTAACACACTTTCAATTACTCATTTATTTTTTTCTTTATCTTTTTTTTTTCATATGATTTTATTTCCTTCTTTCACAAAATTGTCCCTTATAACAGAAAAATAACAGCTATATTTTTGGATAATTTAGTAAATTACAGTAAATAAATAAATAAATGATTAAAAATGAATAAACTTATTAGCTTTTAAGGTAATAAAAAGGATAAAAGAACAAATCATAAATGAATAACACTTGCATCAAAACAAGAGATCGCCGTATGAGGAATCGATCCATATCAAGCTCAAAAGTTAAAAAAAAAAAAATCATTTTCTACCAATTCAAGTGAATGTATATTTGACAAGTAATATTTTATGCATCTTTTTGTTTTATTTTTTATGCATCTTTTTGTTTTATTTTTTAATTATTTGATAAATATTTAATAAAAATTTTATAGGTTGAATTGCTTAATAAAAGTAATTTCTAAACATTGAAAGTGTTTAATATATATAAAATCTTACAATAAAAAACTCAGATAACGTATGCCATTTATATAATTGTTAACTTCCAACCTTAATCACCCGTCTTGACTAGAAAACTTGCGTCAATTCAATAGCAGCAGATACAATATATTTATGATGAAAAGATTTTTAAATGACATCTAATTGTATTAGTTTAATTGTAAAAAATTGAGATTCTTATTTTTGGTTAATTATATATCAAGATTCTATATTATTCCCAAAAAATAACTTTTCCTGAGGAAAATGTTTTCCTAATATTAGGCAAGAAGTTCCTCTCGATTTGTTATGAGATGCAATTAGCATCTTTATTATCCTTGAGAAGATAGTACATCTTATAAATCAATATTTAGACCCAATTGTCAATTATCAGGTAGGAATCTCTCAACATGCCTATAATATATCTAGTACATAATTGTGATAGTGTGTTATCTTCTAAGTAATGCTGCTGGAATTATGCTTTTGAACCTTTTCTTGATGAACAAAAGAAGAGCTGAGCCTGCCAGCGGCCAAGTTGTTACAATTGCAATGTATACAAGCAAGCGGCTAAGTTGTTACAATTGCAATGTATACAAGCAGCCAGATTGAAATCTTCGAGAGCTGACCCATGTATCTTCTCATAGGAACTATTAGATCATTGAGATTTTGATCTGATTGTTGCTTGTCATTAATTATAGGAGGTATTTTATCTGTCAATTATCACTCCTCTCTCTGTCAGAAATGGTTTCTTCTCCCTTCTTAACATCATCCCCATCTCCATTGCACGTTTCTTCTGCTACACTGTCTGTGATGTTGCCCATTGCAGTCACCATTCCACCTTCCATAACATTCAAGAATGGTCCCTGATCAATTGAAGATTGCGGCACGGAAGTCGAGCTACACTCTTCCACCTGCAAGACAATACAAAGCAAAAATATTAAAGCCAACTGGGACTAGCCAATTCCAATTCCATTTTAGTTCAAAAAGTTCCACATTTTGATCTTGAAATGCAACTTTCCAAGAAAAAAAAAAAAAGATCAAAAAAAAAGATCTAAAATATCAAGCTCCTGATTCTTTTATGCAACTATATACACGCTCTTTTCTCAGGAAGAGTTTCAACTTTTCATTAATTCAGCCGGATAAAATATTAGGCTTCAACAAAATCCTTAATGCAACTTCAGCCGCTGTCAAGCTCAGGAGGTAAACGGACCTAGTGCCAGGCTTTTGGTTCAAATCGTAAGATAAAATATGAAAACTGCAATATGAGGCATGTCATGTATTCTCATCAGGTATTCTTCTGCTATTTTTATTTAGTATATTAGCTCTACGCTATTAGTAAACTATTTTGTACCTTCTCTTTTCTGTTTCTCAATGGGCTAGAGTGCAAGACATGAAACAATTCATTAACGGCTCTCACCCACCTGCAAGTGAATGAAGAAATATATCACACCATGACTCCCATGCGTATCCTACAGTAATTGTTTTTCACAATCCAAAGAATCATATATCATACCATGACCGCGCAGTTACATAAACTCACGAATGGTCTCTAGCGCAACATGCCAATAACACATGTTGAAATACATTTGCACATGCATGATATACCTAGGTCCTAGGTAAATATGACAGGTCTTAATTCATGGAAATCTGCTTCTTAATTTTTATCTATCCCATTGGTTTTATCATTTTGCTGGGATAATTTTCCAATATATCTCAAATTAAACAAAGCCACACAAAAAATACTAAACTTCCTTTGAAACAATCGAATAATTAGGCCAAATTGCAAAGATCCTCGCGAATGGGATTCTCCAGGGAATGGGTTCTCTCTTTATTTAACTTTTTCTTTTGTGATGGAAGAAGAATTTGTATTAACTATAATGATGCAAGGAAAATGTGAATATAAAAGGAAGACTAGGGGAAACCTGTCCCTCAATGTTGCAGAATACAGGATTTGCCTGAAGCAAAAACACGAGAAAGAGAGAGAAGCTGTAAATTGAAAGAGAGAGAAGCCTGTAATTACCACAGCTATTTGCAGTTTAAACCTAAGCCAGGTGTCCTCCATGTTTTGTGGTAGCCAGGATAATGTTCTCATTCGCCCTAAAATGAATCAAATGTATCAGTTTCACATAAAACTAGTATCAACTTTGCAAAAATAATGTAGTGACTACCAAACTATGTAAAGTAACAAAAATATGGATGTCTTTGATTTCGCATGACATCGTCCTAGTATTGTTCAAATTTTTTAACATATTTAAGCAAGCCTCACCATTGGGATGTCGAAATGTATCTGCTATACTAATGTTCCATTTTGCTCATCAACATCGTTTTGTACATCCAAGAGTTTTGACAGCAAGTATACAAAAAGTTTAAAAATAGATCATCCTTCAAGTCTGCTATAGATCATCCTTTAAAAATAGACCGTTGGGATGTCGAAATGTATCTGTTATACTAATGTTCCATTTTGCTCATCAACATCGTTTTGTACATCCAAGAGTTTTGACAGCAAGTATACAAAAAGTTTAAAAATAGATCATCCTTCAAGTCTGATTGATGGCAGTAGTGTAGGTCAATACTCAGTAGGTGCGACATCATAATGTCAGGTGGCCAAAACTTGGAAATGTAGTGTGTGACTCCTGAACAAATATTCATGCCCATAGTTGTAGCTGAATCCATCCAAGTAACCATATAGAGGAAAAGTTTAGGAAAGAAGGTTCCTGGGCATGTCTTTTTGTCCTTCACAACTATGGTTCACGAACAACGCATTCATGCCTTGGTGCATTTCACCCAAGGATTAAGAAGCCATTGCTGCCAAAGCTAAAACTTAATGCCTAACAGCTCATGCTAGGCCTAGTGCATACTTTTAACACTACCAAACAAGTTTCCTTCAAGTAATGCCACAAATAGAGGATTCTTACTCCTTACCTACATTCATCCCATGGGATGGCTTCCCTTGTACAAACTGGATCATCCAGTGCGCTCACACACAGGAGAGGCAAGGATACAGGATACGTTTCCTATAAAATTCACACAACTAGAACGCCTGTAATATGCATCTACAGTCTGAGAAACAGCAGAATCCTTTAGTCAATCAGGGGATATAGAGACGCAACCATCTTTGATTCGGGGAATGAGAAAAATGGCTTTTACCTCAAACTTTGCAAGAACTCGAGTTGCATGTCTGTCGAAGTCTCTAACTGAACATGACTGTCAAAGGGTAAAATCACATGTAGTCGAGGAACATTCAGAATAGAAGTAGACCATTTACTTGGTCCATGGAACCCCTCAATGATTATTTTTATATTTACATGAGCAAATAGATGAATGTTAAAAAGTATGTACATGATGGACTTCGTTTATAATGTGGAGACTACATGTCATGTATACATACAATTGGGCTGTGGAATAAATAAATTTTATATATGTTGTTTTTGTGGGCTTTCTTCAGACATAATACTGCCTATAGGCTACTATCTTACACTTATTTTCCACTAATTGATCAATTTCTAATGAGACCATGAGGCCATTTAGTGGTAAATATGTCCTCTGGAATCTCTGATCAATCAAATCCTACAGAGAACGTTTACAACCTACAAGCCACATTTGATTTGAAGGAAATAGGAAAACAAACACTTCCATTTACAAGATCAAATATTACAACCTACAAGCCACATTTGATTTGAAGGAAATAGGAAAACAAACACTTCCATTTACAAGATCAAATAACTTGTGACCATCACAATTAGTTGCCAATTGCACACAATATCTGGGATAAGACAGTTTTCAATTTAGATGTATACTAACTGTTATTGCTGTATATGTTAACATTTTACTTGGATGTATAATTACTGTTAATATTGTAAAAGGATAAAAATGATTAGATCAAATCCAAAAGGTCATTTCTCAAATTGTAACATTTATTTAATTGCCATGAAAAGGTCATTTCTCAAATTGTACCATAAGGTTATTTAATTGCCATGACAGTTTGCTGTTTTTGAAAAACAGACGAACTGAGTGAATATTCAGCTCAGCTGTGTGTAACACAATAACTAGAGTTTAAGAAACAAATGCAAAATACCAGCTCAATGCCATTCCAATCTACTAGACGAGTCAAGACAGATTGATGCCTGTAGGAAAGTATAGACTGAATGTAAATTAAAAGAAAAAGAAAAGCAAAATCGTAGTCTATAAGAAATCTTTTACATTTTTTATTTAATCATTATATATTGTATACAGCAGCAATAATAAGAGATTCGAGTCAAGAAACATAGAGGAAGAAGAAATGTAGACTTACAACTGTGCATATGCCTTTAGACCCACACTTAGCACTCTATCATATAATTTCTGCACAAGCCTGCGGTTGATGAACCTGTCACATATCTGTAAAGCAATCAATATGATATTCACTTTAGCACATTAATCTCATAAACATTAAAATTATTGAATGTCCAATAGGAAAAGCAGTTAATGGCAGGTTCAGGTACCTTGCCTGGAGCATATATCCAGGAAAGGTTTTATTATTTATAACATAAAAACACAAATATTGATATTTTATTGGCTTTTTATTCTATAACTTTATTCTTTTCTTTGTAAATGATCAAAGGACATCTTGTCTTTGATACCCAAAAAAACAACACGTTTTCCTTAATGGTTGTTTGGGGATAGTGATTATGGCCAAGTGTGTGATATTTATCATTCGATTGATTAGGTCTTCTTTATCATTCGATTGATTAGGTCTTCCATTCTCATCTAAGATTAGGCCTTCTAAGATTTGGATTTGGATGTAATTCAGCTCAATCCTTTTAGTAAAAGATTGGATCGGGTTTAATTGCTATGCTATTCACTTTAGAGATCGAACATCAATTAGTGGATTGTAAGTATTCACTGGAATTCAAATTTCATGAGCAGCACTCTATTTGCTAGTCTCATGAATAATTTCATTTATTGTGAATTATGCTCTTGGTGATAAGTATTTTTCCCCCTCATATTAATATGGGTAATTAGAATGAACTCATTAATAATCCATATTTCAAATAATGAAGTTTCAACTTATATACGAGCATAACTTTCAGAGGAATTATTTAACATACTTCGTGCATATGGAAATGATGCACGAAGTACTTTCATGTGAAATCACCTGAAATTATAAAAAGTGATTCGCATAAATCAAAATAATTCCTAAATAAGAAATATTTTTAGATGTAAAAATATTTTTAAAATTTCATAAAAATGTTAATCAAGTACGATTTCATCAATCTTATTATAAATTTTTTATAATTTAATGAACTAAAGAGGGTATTATATTATATAGTTCATAATGTTATTCTATGTATTGAAACTCATAATAAATAAATAAATAAAAGAAAGAAAAACAATAGATCATAATGTTTTTTTTTTTTTTTTTTTTTTTTTGATAGGGTGATATAACATCACATATCCAAAGAAAATATTTACGTGAGTTGCTGATATAATTGAACCAATTTACAAAATTTGTTTTAAAGATCAATTGAAACAAAGCAAACATCTTTTAAAGATCAATCTAGACTTCCCTCCAAAACTCCAAACTAGCAAATAATTACAAGCATTTAGGATAACTACGAACATGATTAAAGATCTTCCACCAACTGCAACAAGCCCTTAAGATACAATGCCAACTTACAACTGCAGAAACTTGGAAACAGATTAGCTATTATGAGTGCTAATAGCCAAGTAACAGCCAATAATAAGCTGATTCTCTTCACTGCTGTGATGCTGTGATTGAAAACTGAAGTCAACCAAAATCCCAAAGTAAAATACACGAAACTAGAAATTCCTTTACCTATTGTCAATTTCCATTTGCCGTACTAATTGACCTTAATCAGAGTTTTTGTCTTGAATTCTTCTCCCATAATTCAGTCCCAATAATTCCAGTGTTTGAGTGTTTGCCGCCTCTACTATATCCTTGTTCGGTTCTTTCCTTCTTACATTCCTTCTTTCGGCTTTCCTATATTCTTCCCGATATATAGGATGAATGCCACAATTGATCACCCTCCCACTAATGACTTCACCTTTTCCGGAATAATTTACAGAGAAATGATCAACATGGAATGAGACTCGAGTGAAATTCCGTTCATGATCAAAAGATTTATACCCAAGGAGAAAATGTTTTGAATCTATTTTAGGACGCCTACGATGTCCAAAATAAAAGTCACAGTCATACTCATACATCTTTCCAGATTTATCTTCGAAGTTCCCAATACCTCTAATGTTATGTCCATGAAAATCAAAATCTTGGAAATCAATAACAGCGGCAGAATAAAAACCCAACATACGATCAGGCCTTTCCAACTGAACTGAAAGATGAGACCCACTTGTTCGATATTTCATACTTTGCAGCATTTCCAACCCAGGGATACATAATCTATGGTGCTGCTCCATGAAAATATGTTTTGTTAAAGAATATTAAATAGCTGATGAATGAGTAAATGGATAGTTTAAACACAAATTTTTAAAAATGCCCATAATAACTATTGAAATCTTTTCGTGATATTTTTTTTTTATGGTAAGATGATATATAGTTCAATTTTATTATGTTTATCTCTCTGCCCTTATCAAAGCATAAATTAATTATGAAATTCACAAGTTAGGAAAATATTCCATTGATGTTTATCATCGAAAATGATGTTTATCATCGAAAATCTTAATTAACATTTTTTTTAAAATAAGGACTTCTTTATTAATTTAATATTAGAGAAAGGAAACATACGTTCTGGCCTTGCTGTGCTGAGAACAGAGCTTCCGTAATTTGAAGACGTACATTATCACCCAATTTGATGCAGTTACCAAAATTAAGTTGAATGCCATCTTCTGTTTCTGCTTTGGGAAAGGACGAAAATGATACAAATTCTAAAGAGGTGCAATTTGATGCAGAAAATGACCTTGTGCCTGGAAGCTCTGGCAAATATCTAAGCCTCTTACAATCATCCAACCTAAGAGTCTCCAAATGAGAAAGTTGTTTGATGCTACAGCGTCTACCCTGTACAGAACCATCGCTCACTCACTGACAACGCATTCCACATACCACAGCCACTCACCGTAGACCCGACCCGTCTCGCTTCCCGTGCCCCCTGCGCAGTCCATAACGCTGCTTTCTGGCTCCATAATATCTAAAAGCCACACGCCGCTTCTCACGTGATACACAATCTCCATACCAAATCCCCCTACAACGAAGACTCCATCCGACAATGCACGCAACCAAAGTTCTTCCGGTTTGATTGTCTACTGGCAAATATCTAAGCCTCTTACAATCATCCAACCTAAGAGTCTCCAAATGAGAAAGTTGTTTGATGCTTGCAGGAATGCTTTCGAAATCGTTTCCATTTAAATATAACTCTTTCAATGAAACTAATGATCCAATACTCTCTGGAATTTCTGATATACCACAGTTACCCAGATAAAGCTTCCGTAGGTCATTCAAACCGGACAACGAAGAAGACCATACCGTCAAACCTTTACATCCCTCAAAACATAAACGTTTCAATCGGCTCAATTGATTGAAAGAGGATGGTAATGTTTTTATGCCACTTCCTCTTACGTCAAGTTTCTTCAGAGATTTTAAATATCCGAAGTTATTTGGCAATTTGCTGAATTTCAAATCTGTAAAATCAATGTACTCAAGAGACTGTAACTGGCCAATGCAGTCTGGAAGTTTTTGAAGCTTTGTACACCCGCTTAACAATAATGCAACAAGTTGAGAGCAATGTCCAATTGATGAAGGCAATTGTTTTATTGCAGTTTTACTTAAATTTAAATCCCTTAAATTGCAAGGAATCTCTGGACATTCTTCAAGTTTACTGCAACCTCGAAGATTAAGAATCTCAAGATTTTCTAACTGAAGGAAGCTTGGCAAACTGCGAATACTTTCACAGTCCTCTAAGTTTAGCAGAGCAAGCTTGGTTGAATATTTAAGAGATGAAGGAATCTCAATTAAACTGCTACAACTTGACAAACATAATTCCTCAAGGTTTGGGGCTTGAAATGGCTTGAAATGGGTCCGAAATTCTCAATAAAGATAGGGACCTGTGGAGGTCCATAACTTTCAAACTTTTAAGAGGCTGTAACAAAAAGAGCAAGAATATGAATTATTAAAATTTCATGTTTTATATATATTTGTTATTTATCGAAAAAAAAAATAATTTCACAACTCATCCAATTAAAATTTTAATTTCACATATCAAAATTAAAATAAGCCAATTTAAAGTATGAAGATTAATAAACTTATGTCTCGATAGTTTCTATTTGTTGTTGCTATAAGGGTAAAAATTAACACATCATCTGTTCTTTAAATAAGTCAAAGTATATTCTTAACATTAGAACTTCTTTAGTTTGGACTAATCATATATTGGTTGATCAAAATTTTTGTTACTAATATTTAGAATTTAAGACGAAATTAAAAAGTCTCATTTAATTCAATGATTTGACCTTTAACCATATCAAGACCAATTTGTAAAAAATGTATTGGACATAAAACAACTGTAAATGATTCATTAAGAAAATTTTAAAATCTATTTCCTTAGAAATGCATTTAAGAATAAGCATTAGTTAAATGATTAGAACATATTATTTCTTTTTATGATATTCTTTCATGATCCGCCGCTCTCGTCAAACCATTTTTATAAATTTCAACTCAGCTAAGTATAAGTTATTATCAAACTACATCTTATTATGTTATAAGTTCATTTACACCAAATACAAATATTAAAGTTTAGGAAATATACCTTATACACCAAATACAAATATTAAAGTTTAGGAAATATACCTTATTATCTCCATCCCACAGTTGTTTGAGCTGGCTGTCAGGCAAGTGAAGTTGTACAAGATTATTTGGGCAAAACTTCAACGGCAACGATTTCAAAGGGTAACGATGCCAAGATAAATATCTCAGCTGCTCCGGAAGAAAATCAAGGCCATCAGCCAAAATCCAATTGGCACTGATTCTGAGGAATCTAAGATTAAGTATCTTCATGAAAGTTTTGGAATTTAATCTAAGATCAGGCATCGTGATGAAAGATTTGGAACTTATCCCCAAAGCTATAGCATCCGACATCCTAAGCGAAATGCACTCAACCTTATCCGTTCCCTGATAAATGTACAACAAATGAAAATAGGTAATTGAGTATAAAATATATAAAAATAAAAGCTATTGGAATCATCACTAATAATGTGGAGCGGTAAGTTCAAATTTCAATTATTCAAATAAAAAAAAACAACAAAAGAAAAATGTAGCAATATGTAAGCATAAATTTTGCCCCTTTACCCCTTACTGTATTTGTTTTGAATACATGATAAATGTCCTCAGGATTCCACAACCTACTACGTCCTCCAGGCTGTTTGCATTCCTCATTCACAATCTCCTTTCCCATTTGTTTTAGTAAGTTATGCATTTTTACTTGGCCATAAAAAATGGTTATGAGAGATTTATCAATGAGACTCCTTATTCCACTTCTCGCAAAGAAACCAAAACTTTCTATTATTTTTTCAAGCTCGTTTTCAGCTTTATCTCCATTTCCAAAGAAACATGCGATATCCAGAAATATGCTCTGCTCATTTCTATCTAACCCATCATAACTTATTTTTAGAACATCTTGAATTCTCTTGTTCGGCGGGATGTTTTCAATTTGAGGCAACTGGCTCTCCCAGTACCTCTTTTCCTTGCCATTAAAGGCTAGAAGCCTAAAACTTTTAGTTTCTAAACGAATTGCCTTTCAGCATAAACGTATCACCTGCTGGGATAGCAAAACATATCTTCTTTCGGTTCATTTTGATGGGAAAGCGTGCAAGCTAAAGAGTTGAAGAGCTTCCTTATAAATTAAATCCTTAACCTGATAAATAATGTTCTTTGTGGACAAACATTTTTAAGTACTTGTCTATCTGTACTAGTTATAATGATTCTACTTCCCTTACGGTACAAACTACAGTTTCCAGCTAAAAGATCTAAATCGTTTGATCACAACGTCATCGTCATCAAAAACAATAAGAACTTTCTTTTTTTGCAGTCTTCTCATAATCCAATCATCTAATACTAAAAGTGGTGAGCCTATTTTTAAATATTCGTCTCCCAATAGTGAACGAATGATTTTATCCCGTAAAACAATTTCTGTTTCCTTCCTTATCTGTACCTTGACATTTGAAACAAAGCAGTGGGCATCAAATTTAACCTTGATTTGCGAAAACACTATACCAGCAAGAGTTGTCTTTCCAATACCAGCCATTCCCCAAATTCCTATTCTCCAATTTCTGTTATTTACATCAACATCCAATAACGATATTACTTCCTCGACACGCGAATCAATTCCAACTAACTTGTCATGGTAACTAGCATTTGATGGCATATGACTTAATATCTCTGAAACACGATTGACGATTCTTTGAACTAGCATTTGGTCATTTCTGATCACATCATATGAAAAATAAAAAGTAAGCCAAAACTTATATATTCTAGAATAGAATCAATTAAGTGTTTGGAAAAACTGGGTGGGTACATACCATGATTGAAGGAATACGAGAAAATGAAACAGAATTTTAACAAGAAAATAAAAATAAGTGAGAGTTCAAAGGAGTAGATATCGTGACTAAAAGCCAACTATCGTGTGCGCAAGATTGATCTATTATTGATGAATAGAAAATAAAAAGACATGGAAAAGTAAACAGGGGAAACTGATAACTTTACTTGATCTCATTCGAAACAAAAGCACTTAAGTCGTTGCTGATTGTCTTCAAAGCATGGCACCATCCACCCAGGTTGTGTGAACTATCATCGCGATGATCTATCGCTGTGATCTTGTAAAAGCCTAGCAAGTGCCTTTGTAAAAGGCCCTCTCAGCTCTTGAACATCAGTTGGATCTACACGGTAAAAAACTGGTAAAACCATTTGTCCTCCCTTTTCTCTGCATTTATTTATCACAACAAGTTCGTCCAAGCACCATGGAGAATCTGCGTAGTTTTTGGAGAATATGACAATTGAAATACATGATTCTTGAATTGTTTGCTTGAGGGCTGGTGTTATTTCAGTTCCTTTTTTAAGGTTTTCATCCTTGAAGGTATTGATTCCTTTTTCCTTCAAAGATTCAAAGAGAAAGGAGAGAAAACCATCGATGTCTTTGCCTCTGAAATTAATAAAAACTTATAGTTATTTAGCTCGGAAGGGGTTTGCTGGGAGAGGTTGAGGAAGGAGAAGAAAGCAAGCATTGGCATTAATGATAAAGAAGGGGTTCCCTGGGAAGAGGTTCGAAGCCAAAACAGAGAAAGAAGAAACCCATAATAGGAGAAATTCCAATGATACCAAAGAAGAGCCGTGGAAGGCAAGTTGTATAAAAACAAGTAGAAGAGTTTATATAAAGCAAAACCATTGAGATTTGAGATCATCATGCACAGAAAATTGATGTTTGGGAAAGAGAAAAAGTGAGGGCGATGCCAAGTCAAGCAAAAAAGAGAGACATTTTAGTGCGTGTGTGAGCGGATTCTTCATGTGCCGTGTTTGGCGCTTCGCTTGATTTGTATTTAATTACGTTTATTGCTTCACTTTGGTAAAAGTATTTCAGTTGAATTCCAATTGCTGGATAAAGTACAAAAATTATAGATAAATACTGAGGAAACTGAGGAAAATTGACCTCACAATCATAATCTAATAATTTTTTATAAATCATAATTAGATAATTATGTAACTCTTTGTTATAATTTGAAATTTTCAAGACATATTTCAAGCATAAAAAATATTATATTATTAATTTATTTATGTAGTTGCTCAAAAATCAAAAAATCTATCGTTAATGTCATTAATGTTTAGATAATCAAAATATAATCACTGCCTATTATCCATATTAAAATTATCATTTGAAATTATATAATTTGAAATTATATAATGTATGATAGGTAACTTATTAAATAAATTTACTTTAACAGATTAATAATTAATATATATATTCCTCGGTCCCATAATTTTAATAGGCAAAAAAGAAAATAATAGGCAAAAAAGAAAATTATTGAGAATATTTTGTATTTATACATGGAAAGAGGGAGGAAAAGTGGGAAGAAAGATACAATATCAACACCATTATTGCAATAGTCAAAAAAGTAAATTGAAGGAAATGTCTTATTCTTATACATGAAGGAGGGAGGAAAAAGGGGAAGAAAGACACAATTGCAATAGTCAAAATAGAAAATTGAAGGAAATATTTTATACTTATACATGGAAGGAGAAAGAAAAGACATAACCACATAAGTTACCTTTATTTTCGGAAGACATGATGTTTTTCGTTGAAAAAAAATTTTCAAATAATTTTTTTTCGTTATTTGTAATATTAAAAATTAGTTAAAAATATTAAAATTTTAACTCATAAGTAAAATATGTAAAATAATAATATAAATTTTCTATTTTAAAAAATTTTATTGTTAAATATGAGAAGAATGCAAAAAAGAGTAAATTATGAAAGTTGTCAATGACTGATGATGTTATAATAAATTTGCTGATGATATCCGTTGGTGGTGAATGGTAAGTGGTAGTAATAGCTACTAATGATTAATAAATTAAAAATTTATAAGGTTATAATAAATTTATTAATATCGGGAAAATGTTTTACACTTTTAAAAATAGAAAGTCATTTTTCTAAAAAATGACTCATATTACAATAGGCAAAAAGGCCAACCAATATAGATTTGATAATCTCATAGGCACGAACTCATGCATGTAAGATCCTTCATACTGTAAAATTTGCAAGTTTATCCTAATAGTTTGATTTAGTATTTTTTTTTTTAAATCTAATAAATTAAATAAAATTGAATATTTCAACTATTATGAGGTAAGATGAATTTATTCACCGAAATTCAATTTTTTATTTTTTATGGAATTTTATGGAAAAATATTTTCCAAGAAAAATAGAATTCCAAGAAATTATTCTAAAAAAGTCTAATTATCGTAAGATAATCATAAATATCTTGTAAAATGAACAACAATGTTTTTTTACAAAATATAGAAAATATGAAAAGTGAAAAGTCTCGATACTATTTTTGACAAAAAGTTTATAAATATATCAATCAATATCATATCAATTAATTTGGTAATAAAAATTCTTAGTTACGAAATCTTTAAATGAACATCATATCAAAGAAAATTACAAAAGAACAGTAAAGAAAAATCATATAAATGAGATTTGTTTGTCTCAAACCCTAATAGATACGATTGCAACCTATAAACATGCAAATCTAGAAATTGAAAAAGACCCTAATAGATCCTTAATGCCATTTCATAGCGGTATTAATTGTTGGGTTAGTCGGTGGAAATGCCCCCAGCATTTTTCTTTGGGTGCCAGCTTACTAATTTATATGAGCATGGATTGACATCTAAACTTATTTTTAAAAAAATTAATGTTTTTTGTTTTTATTTTTAAGGCGATTCATTGGATCTCTAATTGTATTGATTCAACACTTTAATTTTACACAATAAACTAGTCGTCTTCCTGGGCTCGTGTGGGATGTATAATATTTAGAAACAAAATTTTTATTTTTAATATAATTAATAATTATTTTTAAGAATCCAAATATCCAATATTTATTACTTATTAATATTTAAAAAAAATAAAAAATAAATAATTTTTTAATAGATTTCTTTGCAAAACGATCAATTGTATTGCATATGTATACATAAATCAGTTTATAATAAAAGTTTAAAGTTTTTCTAATTTTATAAGTATTTTAATCGATTTTAAAAAATATTTGTTTAAATAATCCAATTATTGAATTCAATTTTGAGATAAATAATCTTAAATTGGCATTAAACATAAGTTTTTAAAAAAAATTTTCATCAAAGTTTACCCTAATTTGGAAATAGGTTGAACAGTACTATAATTGAAACGACCCGAAATTTATATTTTCAAAAACTTTTTCCAATTAAAATTAACTGTACCGACAGGCACTGAGAAAATCAATATTATATTTAGTGCGAATTTACTGTGAGGAAACAAACCGATGAGAAAGTCGAAAACCATTGAAAACCAAAGATTTGGGCCGAATCGGACCGAATCGAACCGGTTCGACCCAAACCATCTAGAATTTTCTTCTTCCTCTTTTTTTCTCCAGCACATGCCTCATCTCTCCTCACTCACTCCCTACGTCTCCAACCACCCAGCAACACCACAGCGCCACCACCCTTCTTCTTCTTCTTCTTCTTCTTCTTTTCTTTCTTTTCTTTCCTTTCCTTTCCTTTTCTTTTCTTTTCTTTTCTTCCTTCTTCCCTACTGTTGTGCTGCGCTTGCAACGTTGGAGCAGATCGACCACCGCTCGCCACTGCTGTAGCTCGTCGCCGCAAGTCGCACCTCCACAGAGCAGCTCCACGTCGCGCCGGCAAGCTCAGATCGCGACTACTGCTCCTCTGTCGCGCCTGCAGCAGCACCACAGCCCTGTCAAGGCACCACTGCCACTGCTGCCGCTCCAGCACGTAGACCGGTCACCTCCGCCGGCGTCACAGCAGCTCTGCCGCTGCTCCAGGGCACCTCCGGCCACCAGCCTCCACCTGCTCTTCACTCCGGCAAGTGTAGCCTCCATTTCCGGTCAACTAATTCCAGCATCTATTTTTTTAGGTATAATTAAATAGATAATTAATTTTAATAATTTTAGATAATTAATTTAATAATATTAGATAGTTAAATATATTTTAGTTAATTACTTTAATATTAATAATGATAGTTAATTAAATTTAGTTAGTTTAACTTTAATAATGTTAGTTGATTTAGTTGATGTTAATAATGTTAGTTAATTAAATTAGGTTTATTAATTGTAGTTAATTAATTTAGTAATGAATTAATTTTATTATTTGTAATTAATGAGTTTAGTTAAGTTAATGTTAGTGATGATTAGTTAATTAAATTAAACTTTGTGAGGACGGTCTGTGATATGGATCCGGTTATGATATAATACTTGACCGTTGGCCGGGAAAATGGGAAATCGGCGCCCCCTTGTGCACCTGATGATTTAGATTATATGGAGATTCACAGGATGGCTTCTTGTTGTTGCGCACCTGACAATCTAGATTTGATTGTAGCTCGCAGGGTGGCCTCCTGTTGTGAGCACTTGACGATCTGATAATCTAGATTGGATGGAGACCACCGGGTTGCCTCCTGTTGATATGGAAAAGAAACGAGAGACTGGAAAAACAATGAGAGGACTGGTCAGTGAGCATTAGACCAGTTGGCCGTATGGGGGATCGGCTCCCTAGTGCACATGTACGAGAGGGCGAGCCATGTGTGAGGACGGCTCGTTTGGGTTTCAAGTGGTGCCACTGACTAATTACCACTTGCTTGATTACTTGAAAGTGACATTACGTGTGAGTGCTGGTATGTGTAATTTGTGTGACTGGCTGCGTGAGCATATAACTAGTCGGATGACTAGATTGAAATGTTTACATATTTGTGTGACTGCGTGTGTTGTGCAATAATTATTATTTCACTGAGTTTGCATACTCACCTCTTCTCCAAACTTCAGGTAGTAGGAAGTCGCTGATTCCAAACTGAAAGCTCTGTCAATTTTCCCTCGCGGAGCTACAAAAAGTAAACCTTATAACTTTTGTTATCATAATTTGGATTTTGTATTATTATTAGCATACACTAGCTTTAGTTTCAATTATTGTGAACTTCCGCAGTTGTAAGGGGTCCGTGTATTTTTCAAGTTAGGCCCTGCCGTATGTGTTCCTTATATGTATGGTTTGTTATGTTATTAGGTGCGTGGACAGTATGCCATATTATGAATGTGATTTGATTAATGATTGGCCAAATAACCTTGTTTGAGAAAATTAAAATTGACCACGCATTTATGTAATTATATTCATCTTGCATGGGCTATGTTCCCTATTGAATGATTGTGCTCATGCTTGAAAGTTGAGCGGTTTAAAGGCTTACTACGGGCCTCGGGGGCCTTAACGTTACCTAGGCCCTAGTGCGCGGTCCCGGCCACGGAAATGGGTCGTGACACAAGGTGGTATCCAGAGCCATAAGTTTAGGGAGTCCTAGGAAGATAACTGCGGAGTTATTTCCGGCCGTCACGTCTTGAATATAGTTTTCTCTTGCCTCTTAAGTTTTCAGCGTGATCACCGTTATGAGTCCTATTTTCAGTTAGGTTATAATGTAATTGATAATGAATAGGATAGGAATGGTATATTCTAATAAATTTACCTTGTACTTTGAATTTTCAGCATGGTGAAGAACAGGGTAGAGCACTCGACAACGTGGGGCAAGCATGCTCATGATGATAACACCCGGAGCCAGAGATGGTTTCTGATGAAGTCTCTTCTGGGCATTCCGCTATTCCTAGACGACGAGAACGATCGAAAGAAATAAAATCTTGCTAGGAATGTAAATAATCAGAATGAAGGTGCCCAAGAAGGTGGGAATGAGGAAAATATGGAGGGAACTCCCATTGATGAACACAATTTGTTTGACGGCTACACAGGCTATAAAACAGCAGCACATGAATATGTGTTAATGCAGCAACCAACAATTCTTCAAGCCTCAGTCAACAGCAAACAGATGCATCCATCTATGCCGATCCAGCAGCACAACCAGTTCAACTAGGCTTTCCACCTCCTACTGTTTCCGAGGGGCTGCTACTGATAACCTGTATGACAGATTCATTCGTTATAAACCGCCTTAAGTTCACAGGCACTGAAAGATGCTCATCAAGTTTAGACACTTCCCTTGCTGATATCGACGCCTTTAAGTGAACCTATTTATACTGATTCAGTTATTTTTAAAACTGTCCCTATTGTTCTTGAAGGCGTAGACTTTACCCGCAGATTTAATTATCTTAGATGGTGATAGATTTTGATGTAATCTTGGGATGGAATTGGTTAGCAAAGTATGATGCCATGAGGTTCATTGTTAAAGGAAAGAAATTGTTTTGCTAATCTACCTGATGGCAAGAAACTTTGTTTATAGGGTAGATAAGAATATAGCTCCCTTAATAAATCTAATTTTCTGCAATCAGCGCTAGAAAACTGTTGAGGAAAGGCTGTCAAGGGGTACTTAGCGTTGGTAAAGGTACCGCAACCAGAAATTCGTAAATGTTAAAGTATGCGCGATCTGTGAATGAGTTTATCCGACGTGGTTTCCAGAAGAATTACCCGGTCTTCCCTCAGATAGGGGAATTGAATTCTGTATGATTTGAATTCCTGGCACAGAAACCTATTTCATGGCCGCCGTATCGTATGGCACCATGCGGAATTTGAAAGAGTTGAAAGACACAGTTGGCAGGAACTGTTGGATAGGGCTTCCCATAGACGAGCACTTCACCTTTGGGGTGCTCCAGTCTATTTGTGAAAGAAAGGATGGTTCGCTTCGGCCTTGCATTGATTATCAGCAATTGAATAAGGTGACTGTGAAGAACCAAATACCCGGCTTCCTATGAATTGATGACCTGTTCCGATCATTGCATAGGGGCTACAGTTTTCTCAAAGATTGATCTTAGATCCTGGTTAGCCATAAGCTAAAGATCCAGGGAAACAAGACATTCCTAAAACGGCTTTTGAAACAGATATGGTCATTATGAATCGCTTGTCAATATTGTCCTCGGACTCCACAAATGCCCCAGCAGCTTTCATGGATTTGAATGAACCGTGTGTTCAGCCATACTTGGACCGGTTTGGTGATTGTGTTCATAGATGACCATTCTAGTTTATTTCTAGAACTGAAAGCAGATCATGTTCATCATCTGAGAATTGTGCTTACAAACTTGAGGGAGCATCAGTTTATATGCCAAGTTTTCTAAATGTGAATTCTGGCTGGGAGAGTGTAAATTCTTCTTGGGTCATTGTGGTATCTAAGGATGGAATAGGGTTGAATCCCAAGAGATTGAGGCAATCATCGATTGGCCGAGACCTGCTACTGTCTGAATTGCGCAGCTTTTCTGGGTTTAGCTGGCTATTATCGCCGTTTTTGTGGCAAGACTTTTCTTCTCGAATAGCAGGCACCATTAACCAGAACTTGACCCAGAAGGAATGCTAAGTTTGTATGGTCCGTTCTTGTGAAGCAAGTTTCCAAGAAGTTGAAAGAAGTGCTTAACCAACAGCTCCGGTAATTAGCCCCTTGCCATAGGGTGATGAAAGGATTAACGTGGGTGTTTTGTGATGCATCCAGGAGTGGGGTTGGGATGTGTTTTAAAATGCAGCATGGGTCCGGAGTCATTGCGTATGCTTCCAGCGTTGAAGAAACATGGAACAGAATTATCCCACTCACGATTGGGAATGCGCAGCCTATCATTTTCGCACTAAAAATATGGAGGCATTAACTTGTACGGTGTGACTTGGTGAAATCTATCTCACCGATCATAAGAGTTTGAAGCTACATTTTCGATCAGAGGGAATCTGAATTTGAGCACGCGACGCTGATGGAATTTCTTAAAGATTATGATTGTTATTATCAGTATCAACGCGGGGAAGGCTAATGTAGTAGCAGATGCTTTTAAGTCGGAAATCCTTGGGGAAGCTTATGCTGCATATTTCGGTTGAAGAAAGGCCGTGTAATTCGGGAATTGGATGGCATGCTTGATGAAGGCCTTAACTTGGAATTCCTGCTTCAAACTGTCTATGGCTCATTTAGAATGGACCGATGCTGTTTGACAGAATTAAAGCTGCACAGGCGGGATCCACAAGTACAACAAGAATTATCAGAGGTAAGTCACTTGGTGGGAATGCGGGAACTTGTAATCGCACAAATGAATGGTGTACTCAGGAAGGGTACTATTCGTGTTTTGCGTAACCGATGTCGATAATCTTAGAAAGGAGATCTTAGATGAAGCCCACTATGCTGCTTATAATGTGCATCCGGGTACTACAAAAATTGTATCGGGATTTGAAGGAGTAATTATTGGTGGACCTGGAATGAAGAAAGATGTAGCAGAATTCGTATCCAATGTCTCCGCATGTCAGCAGGTAAAAGCAGAGCATCAAAGACGCTTCTGGATTAATGCAACAATTACCGATACCAGAAATGGAATGGGAAAGGAATCACTATGGAACTTTGTTGGTTGGACTCACCGAAACGCCAGGAGGCTATGATTCAATTTGGGGTAAATTAAAGTGGGGGATCGAACCCCCTTACCAAGACAGCTCATTTCTTTCAGTTGAGATCCTCCTTATAATGCTGACAGGGTTGGCAGGTTGTACGTTTAAAAAGAGATAGTTGCGACTTCATGGGGTTTCCGGTATCTATCATAATCGGATAGGGGGACGCAGTTCACCTCGAGATTTTGGCAGTCGTTTGCAGAAGCTTTGGGAACCCGGCTTTGACCTTTGTTACAGCTTTCCAATCCGCAGATGATGGGCAATTCTGAGAGGACTAATTCAAACACTGGACAGATATGCTTCGGATGTGCCGTATTGACTTTGGAGGATTTTGGGACACGCACTTACCATTAATCGAGTTTGCCTATAATAACAGTTACCAAGCAAGTATCGGCATGGCGCTTATGAAAGCTCTGTATGAGCAGAAAATGCAGTCTCCTATCTGTTGGGGGAATAGGAGATCAGACCAACTGTAATAGGGCCTGAGTTGATTTCAAATCCAGCGAATCTGAAAAGTGTTTCCTATCATTCGGGCACCGGAATTAAGAAGCAATTTTGATCGGGGACAGAAGAGCTACGCTGACCCTAAGCCACAGAGAGGTGACATTTTCAAGTGGGAGATGTTGGTCTTTCTGAAGGTATTCTCCTATGGAAAGGTGTTCGCGCGCAGCTTCGGTAAGAAATATA